GAAGGTTTGTCTCGTTTTCAGGGTCCAGCTTAAACCACAGCTGTGAGCAACCTGTCTTTGTTAGAGAGAGAAATTCTTTGCTGTTCAGATTATTCTATATCAAAAATTCTAACAGCCACTTAGTTTTCAGAGCAAAGATGTTTCTCTGTGATACTGTTAATTCAAAAATAAGGTCAGTATTCATGGTGAGTTTGATATCAGATGGTGCGTGCATGCTTCTTGAGGTGCATGCACACTTCTTGGTGCTTCTTATTCAAGTAAAACGCTGCTTTCTTTCTCCCTGGTAACATGCTCATGGCTTGGGTGGGCCGCTGTTCGGAGCGGTCATTGAAGAGGGAAGAAGGGTCAGGGTCTTCTCCCTTTGCCTTCAGGCAGTGCAGGGGAGAGGGAGAAGCAGAGACGTGTACTCTGTGCTACAGTTCATCTCCAGATATTCCTTCTTTTTTTTTGTTTCCTGGCTCTGCCTCAGCACTAGATCTGAAAAAAAAAAAGTCTTTCTGCAAAGCGTAGCAGGAATCCAAGAATCTGTGAAGTTCATCCACTTCTAAATAGAAATATTTAGAAATATTTAGATTCTGTTAAAAAAAGATGGTTTTGTTAGTAAAGATGTGACTGAGAAATAAATGAGTGTTGTGAACTGAAGCTGCAGGTGGGAATTCTGAGTTGTTATTCACTCCTTTTACTAGCTAAGGAATGTTTTTTCTGGTGCCAGTTTGGAGTTTAAGAACTGAGCCCCAAATGGTCGGTTGTGCTTCACAGTTTCTTCCTGCAGTGGTTGGCTGAAGTGAGAACTGCCTGTGAAAAGTGTCCGTGAAAGCTCAGGGGGTGTTGAAGTTACTGCGTGCCCCATTCTGATGGATTATGGGGTAACCAATTCCAATTTGTGTCAGCATCGTTTCACAGAGAAAATGAGGTGAACCCAAATTTGGTTTATTTTTCTTTCTCTTTTTCTTTTGTCTGCTCTATGTGGAATCCACAGCCAAAACAGAGCTAGTGGTTTTAGCTTGGGGAGGCCAGACTGGCTCTCACTGGCCTTCTAGATAGCAGAGGTGCTTGGCTGGGGGCTCCTCGTGCTGGAGCAGTGAAATTGGCTCGGTGAGATGTCACCCATCAGTCTTCAGAGCTGAAACCACATTACCTGCACCCTTGGGTATCTTCATCTTTAACAAGCTATATCTCTAAGCTCCTAGAGCATTTGCTGTTCCAAAGATGTGAGCCAAAGGTGCTTTAAAGAGATGTCTGGTTTTTGGTTTTTTTGGTTGGTTAGTTTGGGTTTTGGTGGTGTGTGTGTTTGTTTGTTTTCCCAAGCTTTTTATATCAAGTAACACACAGGTTTTGCATTGGAAGAGGCAGTGAAAACCAGTTTGACTGTTGCTGTCTGATATTTGTGACTTTATAGGCTGCTGTCTTCTCTCCCATCCATTCTGCCTTGTCCAGGCTGAAGAGTCCCAGTCTGTTTCTCTTATGCGAGTGTCTCTAGAATTTTTAATGCCCTCGTTACCTGTTTTAAGCCTTTTCCAGTTCTGTCTCCTGCAAATGAAGGTTATAGGGGGTGCATTGAGCATTCAAGATGCAGGCACATCGTGAGTTCATACGCGATCGTAGCGGGATCCTGTCTTGAATTCTGTTTCCCTTTGCCAATTATTTCTAAGATTCAGCTTGTTGCAGCTCGCTATGGAGGAAACTGTCTAGTTTAACCCCAAAGCCCCATGGCAACACAGAGCATAGCCCTGTATTTGTATATAAAGCAAGAGAAGCATCAATGGAAGAGAAATCAAAAGCTGTAAGAAATCAAAAGGTGCAGCTGTGATAGCGGCACCTCCATGAAGATGCAGCTTATTGTGCTGGTCCTGTTCTTAAACTCTGCAGGAAAGCTGCATGCTTTGAGCATGCCTGGGGCCAGGATTCTTTCTTTTCTTTGTAGGTGTTTTTTTTTTTTTTCTCCCAAACAATCTGCTTTTCACTGTATTTAACAGAATGAATTTCCCTATTTCATTTTCCTTGAACATATAGGATGTGATTGCTTCTGCTATCCTCGTGTTAGTTCCTATGTGCTTGTTCTGGAACAGCTGTTGACAAGTTTTGTTTTTTCCTCCCCTAATTCGTGTCTTTGCTAGACAAAACGGTGACATCAAATTTTTGACCAAGGGAGACAATAACGCTGTGGATGACAGAGGGCTGTACAAACAAGGGCAACACTGGCTGGAGAAAAAGGATGTAGTAGGAAGAGCAAGAGGGTAAGTGAAGCTGAGAAAGATGGAGCTTATTGCAGTGCCCTCCCCTGGCGCTATCTGTTAATCCCCCTCTCCTGCTTAACTCTCCCTGCTGGGTTTTGTGTGACCTGGGCAAAAAGCCTCTCAAAAGGTAATGTGTAGAATTAAAAAAAAAAACAGAAGCCGTTCAGTTCTGAGCTTGACTTAGATCTTGTTGAGCTGAGATTTTGATGCTGAACGGCCGCCGTGCAAAGGCAGCGCACAGCCAGACGTTGAGGTGTGATCAGAATGCTCATCAAAACTCTCTTGCAAATCACAGGCTTTGCAGGCAAGCGAGATGTGAATTCTTAATGTGCAATCCCTTGTGTGCACAATCAGGTGCTGTAAGGGTGTATGTTCTCATCAGTGCTCACAGAGAGCTTAAGGGCAGCCTGCTTGCTAAATAATTCTTTCCCTCACAGGAGAAAACTGCCACCTATTTTTAATCTCCACAGTTTTTTTTTTTTTTTTAAAGAAAAAAAGTTGTTCTTTCCTCTGAGGGCTTTCTGCAATTACTTGAAAGAGCTCCACTCTCTGCAGTGCTGACAAAGCCTGTTCTTCCTGCTAATTGCCCTAAAAAGTTATAATCAGCTCACCCTTACACTTTTTTTTGATACTTAAAATCACGGAGAGGCACATCAATTAAACATCAAGAGTATTTGGATTAAAATAATCAAAGGTGGGTGATCTGGCTCCCTTGTGGGGCTGCTCGTGTTTTCATCACAGCTGGAGCGGTCACTGGGAACCCTACAACCTAAACTGCTTCTGCGCAGAATTCATCTATCCCGAGGCAGCTCCGCTGTCATTCCTTAATCTTGAATTAGTTCTTTGCCAGCCAGACACTGATTATCCCTTTCTTCCTCTTCAGATAACCAGCTCGTGCCACACCAATGTTTTATTTCCAACATTTACGCCTAGAAACTTGCTGGCACCTGGATTGTGGGTTTAATGTGCTAAAAGGAGCTGGGGGAAGTAGGATGAGCAGGTGGTGGCTCTCTAAGCTGGTTGAATTCCTTTGCAGCACGACAGTATTTAACAAGGAGTAATTTGAATGACTGTGCCTTGTTTGAGCCAAAAGAGCAGCTTAGGAGAAAGTCCCTTCTCGCCTTTCAGATCTCTGCTCCACTTAGAGTGGCCTTAAAGAAAAGCCAGCCTGTTTGAAGATACAAGCGAGGGAGCATTGGGTGAAATGGGTAATGTTTTTCTAGCACTACCTAATTAGGTCTGATTCCTGCAAGATGCCGTTGAGCCTTTGAGTGCCAAGAATCTGGAAAAAGATGGGTGCTGACGTGGGAAAGAATAGCTGGTTATGTCAGTCAAGGCCTCCAAACTAGGCAGGGAGGAAGGCTGCTGGCTTCAGAGCCCCATGCTGAGGAAGGGATGGGGGAAAACGCGCCTGGGGAGAGGATATTCACTCAGTCCCCACTTCCATGTCTTCGCTGCTTGGGAGGGAGAAGTCCCGTTGATCAAGAGTGCGAGACAAAGCACACTGCAAGTGGCACTTCCATCATGCAGTGTCAGGGCAGTGCTTGCCCATAATCAGCCTCAGCCTGTTTGCTTTAATAGAACTTTCTTTTTCTGTATAGATTTGTCCCCTATATTGGAATAGTGACTATCTTGATGAATGACTATCCAAAATTTAAGGTAAGAGCTTGTTCGTCGTCCTTCCATCCTTCCCCCTCCCCTCCTAAAATTTTGAGAAATTTCTGTACATAGAGCCGGGATGTTACAGTGTCCTTAGATGTGATTCCCCCCTCCTGACTCTTCTCCTTTCTCTTGCAGTATGCAGTCCTCTTTTTACTGGGTTTATTTGTGCTGGTCCATCGAGAGTAGCCCGCTGCACTGAAGTTCATAGTGAAGATGCCGTGTTTTTTTAGGTGAACGTTTTAAGTAGATGCTGGTCCAATGTGTGGAGAGGAAGAGAAAAACATACATTTCAAAGCTTCTTGCCAGTTTGGGTTCGTTTTGTTTTTTTACTGCGTGAGGACGAATGTTATCACAGTATTTCCAATGGTTTGTCACATTTTAGCATTTTTGTACATCGGTGAGTTTTTTATATTAAAAGTTTAAGCCAAACTGTTCGTGTTTGTCCTTTGAAGCTGAGCTTCCTCTCAAAGTGCTGTAGAGCAGTTCAATATTTCTGTGTTTCTGTAAATCACACTGAGGTAAAAAGCTTAAGAACCCCAAGGTGTTTTGGCCAGAAGATAGCAAAAGATTAACTTTTGCACTGCTGAAAGAAACGGTGTCCGAGAAATGCTCTGGCTGCCACAAGTGTTCAGTGTGGCATGAGGTAAAAGAATAATTTGGATGGAAAATACCCACAGCTTTGGGGCATGGACTATGTAAAAAGTTAGGAAGCAAAAGGTAAATGTGCTTCTGTTTTGGAAACAGAATCTGGGTCCCTTGTGATCCTCATGGTTGGCCTTTTTTTGCAGCTCACCTGAAAGTTTCACTGCCCTGATAATCTGAAAGGAGAAAGCCCTCATCACCACCTGCAACAGCTTTTTTTTTTTTTTTTTTTTTTCCCCCTTGGATTTTCAGTCTGGAATGTGATTCTGATTGTGTAGATGTGTCAGAAGAGGGCCTGAGGTACAGGGCAGAGGCTCAGCGGTTAACTGCTTTTATATTAGTTTTACTACTTGAACCAAGTGAGTCACCTTTATAGCTTACCTCCGTGGTGTCCACACCGACTCATGCCATGTTGCTTCCCCTTTGCTGGGGTGCATCTTCCCAGGAGCGCTCGCTGACACCTCAGTGCTGTTGCTTCCTCCTGCTCTTAAGGCAGCACAAGTCTCGTGCTCAGCCAGCTAAGCCGGTGCCTCTAGGAAGGCTTGTCCCTGTCGGCACCACCTGCTCCATGTCTGTTCTTCCCTTGGATTAACGGCAAGCTCGAGACCTCCTGATCCCGCAGAACCCATGGACAAAGCAACTTGGTTCCTTTAGGTGGATTTTGCTGCATTTTTATTGGCTCTTCTTTGCCTGCTCCAAGACTGCACATCCAAAAAGGATCGTTAAAGATGTTTACTGCTGCCGTACGCACAAGCTGCATGGGATGAGAGCAGTCAGGGAGGACAAGGACAAAGCTCAGCGGGGTGTTAGTGATGTATTTACATAGTTTCTTGCCCATGCATCTTGTGTTTTGCTTCAGGCTTGCCCTATCTGTGGAGGTAGGTCGTGCTATTAGTTGGGTCAACAGACACTCAGCTCCATCAGCTCTGCTCTCTGCTGCTTTATTTAATGCTCAGTAGTGGTGCTGAGGAGTAGCTGGGAGATGAATTGCCCAAAACTGGATTTGGGCAGCAATGAGGGAGCACAAAATATCTTTCTAGGGGTTGCTGTGGTGGTGGAATCCCTTCCTGAGGCACCTGAGCAACGTTCCTCTGCTCACTGAGAGGACAAGGCTGAGTCTCTGCTACCCAAGTTGGCACCACATCTGCTTGAGCTGTTGCTGTAATAAGCAATTTTATTAACCCGGAAACCTATAAAGGAATGAGACGAACGCTTCTGCAAGTGGCTAATCAACACCTCTCAAGGTAGAGTTACTGGAAGTGCTGCTGTTGCTGTTCTGAGTCCTCTTGCTTTCACACGTTTTGCAAAAAACCTGAGCACAGAGAAGCAGCTGTTAAATTAACTCAGTGACAGTAACACGAAAGGCTAAATACAAAGGATTTGTGATTGCTGCCAGTGCATGGAGTAACTCTTTAGAGTGTATCTGCTGAACTCCAGCTCCAAGAGAAAAGACATGGTCATTTCTACACGTTTGGAAGTAACGGTGCATCTCTCCTTGGCACAATGGTGCTGCTGGCGTTGCTGGTTCCTGGCAGCAGGTGTCAGCAGCTGAAGGAAGGAGCTGAGCACCCACTAGGTGCAACCCGGGCGCACCGGCAGCCGCCCAGCCCAAGGTTGCTGGAGAAGACGGTCATGCCAAGTCGTAACCTCTGCTTTGACCGGGTGCGAGCACGTGCTGTGGCAGGACTATGAGCCAGAAGGATGCAAGCAAAACTGAATAACCCAGTTCCCTCTGAAACCTACAAAGCTCATCTCTAAATCACGGGCCGGGGTGAAATCTGGGATGCCCATGTGCTGCCTATTTTCATTGCAGAGTAGTTGAGAATGTGTCACGCAGTGAGGTGTTGGCTCCCCTTGGCATGAGGATACACGAGCCGTTCTTCCTCGCGCAGCTCGGACACCCGCTGGCTCCGGCTGCCTCCCACGCTGCCTCCTCCTCGCCGTAACGTCCTCCCTGCCGCCGTGGGCAGGGGAAGAGCCTGCCCAAAGCGAAAGCCGGGACCGTGGGGGCAGGATGACACAGGAGCTGCTGGCTCCGTCTGTGTATTCCGCTTTGCCGAGCGGAAAAGCCACGGGACCCACAGGATCTGGGTGCTAAGGCTGAAAGGTTTGGCGAGTGCTCCTGCAGAGCCTGGGGTTTTGCTGATAGAACATGGAATCTCTGGTTTTATTTCATTTTAGGTTCTTTTGCGTGCGTTTCTTTTGAAGACGCGCTCTCTGGAAGCTGGCTGGCTGGCTCCAGCTTTGAGACCCCAGGTTCTCAGTAGGGCTTAGGGAAGATGGAGACTTCTGTGCAGCAACGGGAAGGGGATTTGTTTGCAAAGTACGTGGATGTTGGAAGATCTGTTTTACAAAGGCAAAGAAAGCAAAGATGTGTCAGGACTAAAATTGCCTCTGTTGTGGTTACAGGCAAACAGAGCAGGTTTTCTGGTAGGCAATTTCATTGCCCAATTAGAGTTCAATCATATCCGCAGTTCAAGGCACAGTTCTGCCCTGCACAGATTCCTTTACGGAAAGGAACAGTTTCATAAAGCAAAGTAACATTTGGACATTACTAATATTACTAATTGTTCCTAGACTTCTATTTCATCTTGCTTTCCACCAACTCTTCTTTTTTTTCCATATCACAAACAAATGCCTATGAAAGCTCCTGATGGATAGTGGGTCAGCTGTGAGGAGTAATGAATAAGCTGTGCTGAAAATCGAAGCTCCTCGAGACAAAGGCTGTCTCCGTTTGTGTGCTAATGATGCTTGAACGCACGGTTGTCGGTTAAGCAGTAATGAGCATTACGTGGTTTCCTCCAGATCTGCTGATGCATATTGCTTAGCAGGGGTTTCTAGGGGTGGACTGAGATGATCGGTTGCGTGTGTCCCTTAATAAGACTGGGTAAGTCTCGCTCTGCGCTTCCCTCATTTGAATTCCAGAGTCTGTAAACCCCACGGTGGTTTTCCTGCTGTTAACATCCAAGCAGGTCAGCCGTCCTTTTTTTTCAAAGGATCATCTGTAGGGCAAAATCTTCTCCATGGGTGGTTAAGACAAAAGCTTAGAAAGCCAGTTCCCTCTGGAGAAGCGCAGGAACGCAAGTCCCGTGTACTGACCCTGGCTGTATCGAAGCGGCTGAGCTGAGATGCCAAGAGAAGGAAAGGAGAAGCAGTTCAGGTAAAACCTGTCACTTGGAGATGGCTTCTGTGCGGTAGCAAGGGAAATACAAACCAGATCCCTCATGCTTACGGCTCACAGGACGACCCCCAGCGTGCCTGTGACTCAGTGGCTGAATCAGATGAGGAGTGTCCTGGTTGCAGGTACGCCTGGCTGATACCAGAAACGCAAAACCTGCACCATTCCCGTTGATGTCAGCAACTTCTGATGGTAATGAGGTGCAGTAGCAGATGATGTGTCAGGCAGGATTAGTTCTGACAGCTGGGAAAAGAGAAACAGGTGATTTTCAGCACCTATGTTGCGTTTGGTATGAGCCAATTTAATAGCTTTCTGCCTCTTTTACCTTTTCACAGACTGACAGAATCACAGGATGATGGAAGGGAGCTCTGGTAGTCTAATCCTCCTGCTCAGAGCAGGGCCAGAGGTTGCTCAGAATAGATTCTTCAGGGCATTATCCATTCAAGTTGTGAATATCTTCAAAGCGGAAGGCTCCACAGCTTCCATGGGCAACCTGATCTGGTGATAAACCACCCTCACTGATCTGTGCCCACTGCCTCTTGTCCTTTCAGTGGACAACAAGCTGGAAGGGTCTAGCTCTGTTTTTCCCTCCCTTGCAATGCTTCCACTCTGTACCCAGCCAGCCCAACCTCCCCAGCCTCCAAAAGCAGCAGGTCCCTGCAGGAACAGCTCACCGAGGCGTCTGAGGAGCGCTGGAGCGGGTACGTGGGAAGGGGCAAGATAACTCTTGTGGTGAGTTCACGTTGTTGGATCTACTTAGCCGTAAGCAGGTAGTTCCACCACGGGTTATTGTCTGCTCATCCATTGACAAGGAGCCGCTCTTCACAGCAGCATTGTTTCTCCTGCTGTGGGTTTGTCCCTGCTCACCTATTCACAGTGCAATGCAATTCATACATGTTTTCACTTCTAGGTAGGTCCTCTCTTTTGATGGTTTGATGTAGCAACCCCACCTGTATTCTCTACACCTTGGAGGAAATCAAATATCTCTATGGGGAAGACTAGTCTAATTAAGGACAAGCTAGAAGTGCACTCTGCAATGCAGGATGGAACAGGGGTGTTCTGTAGCTCTCTTTTCCCAGCTCCTCTCTCTCGATTTTTCTGCTCATTCAGTTTAATAATGCACTTCTGGGGCTTTCTCTCTGCCAAGCATCTAGCCTTTCCTTTCTGATCTCTCTCTCTCCTATAGAAACTAGCCTTGGAGGGTTTCAGGTTCCAGAGAGATAGAAGTAAAAAGGAGAAAATGGAGAAAATGAACTTCAATTTAATTTCTCTAAATCTCAATTCAATCCAAATGAGATGTCAGATTTGTGCCCCATAATTCTGGTTGGACTTCTGAGTTCGGTCTGGATTTACCAGAAAGAAAACAAGATTTTTTTTTTCCTCCAAGTCTTCTTGCAAAGGAGTTATTTGTACTATGTCCAGCGGGTACAGAGTAAGTGGGAAACCTCAGGGGAAACTGCAGCTCATTTACTGCTCGAATGAAAATTGAAAAAGAGTTGAAAACATGATGTGCACGATTTCAAATTTTATTTTATAAACAACAGTTGTTGCCTGTAGAAGAGTGAATGTAACAGAGGGATTTAATCATTGCAAACAAGAGACAAATGCATCAAAACAGACCCCCAGGCACTGAGCAACACTTTAAATTTGAC